TTCTCACTGCGGAGGATGCGGGCGGCGGGACAGCCGTGGCGCGTCTTGGCAGTCTGCTGGGGGGGGGACATAAGTTGGATCCACGTAACCCAGGGACTGCCTGTATTGAAAGTTGTTAATAAAGAATTCACAGTATTTTGTCTTGCATCAAATGTGATTTTGCTTCCAGAAAAAAAAAGGAAGATATATCATTTGATCTACCAGCCATCACAGACCTCCAGCCTAGACTACAGTTTGAGAACTATTTGCTGATCTCTGAAAACAAGTTACAAGCTGTTTGGTAAGGTGGTAGAAAGGAAACCTCCAAGTTCCATTACCAGTCTCTGCTTTTTGTCCACTTGGCCAGCTGGGGTGGAGGGAAGCTATAGAGACCACACACTCAGTCCTTGGGATAAGGACGGTCTTGAACTGCTCTATAAAATCTCCTCCAAGTTAGATGAGGGAGTGGTCATATCTACTCAGTTGTTTTGTGATAACAATCAATTAGCACTGAAAGTTAGATTATCAAGCTATGTAAGGAATGCACAACACCACTTCCTAACATTCTGAATATTTTAACATTACAGGGTCAATCTTCATTTGTCTATATAATTCCATTGAAGTCAAAGGAACTATGTTAATTTATACTAGAACATCTGATCTTCTGTTTGGGGTCTGAATTCCCCAGGAACAATTGGGAGATATTCAAGACCAAAAACAAACACAAACATTCCATTCCCTGGCTCAAGCTGGATTCAAACCCTCCTTCTTCTTGCTTTTGCTACTCTTGGGTTCCTTTAAATCCAGCACTTTGCTCTGCTGTCTGAAGGAAATTTATCCTCTTCTCAGGGATCAGTAAAGAATCCTGTCAGAACTGTCAGTCTATCCTCACCAATGCCTTCACACCTCTCTCTGGGTTTCTTTATATCCAGCCCTTTTTCTTGGACTTTTAAACTAGCCATGTCCCCTTTCTGGAACTTATTTCACTGCAGCACATTCACCACTTCAGGTCTCAACCCAGTAGCTGCATGCTGTTCCCTTTAGGGAAGATGCCCTGGGCCTCTTTGCACCTGGCCTCTTTTACCTCTGTCCATTACCATAGTGCTAGAGCTCTCAGGTCCTCTTGGTCCCAGGTTGAGCTAATGCTACCCATGCTGCTCCCATTTTCCAAAGCAGAACTCCCTTTCTTGTTTCTCTGAATTGTTCAGCCTCTACAGCCACTTTTATTTGAGTCTACTGGGCTCTGACTGGCTGTGTCTAAGTTTTCTGGAAGACCTACCTTTACTGCTCTTTTCCTGAAGTGGGATGTAGCATAATGACAGTGTTCCACCAGGGAGCCTTGAAAGTCCAGGTACACCCCCTCACAGTCTAAGTTCCCTCTAAGCAGGACTGCTGCACACAAAGCTGCTGTGATTGGAAGTGGGGCATATCTCCCCCCTGCTGATAGGTATGAGACATAAGCAGTGAGCGGGGGTCAGTTAAGTGGGGAGGAGAGTTTGGGGTGTCCCAACTTCCAGCGGGGCTGCAGGGACAACAGCAAGGAGAGGAAAGATGCACTCTGTGATGACAACAGCCCCAGCTGGGTTTGGCTGCAGCTGTCACTACATGCAAGAGACACAGCACCCCCATAGACTAGACTGGTGGGTGTGGGGAGAGCAGATTACACTGGAGTAGGTAGAGAAAATAGGGAGTGGGTAGGCATTGGTGCAGTGAAGTGGGAGTAGGGGGTCAGTTTGGGTGTGTCTAGACTACATGCCTCCTTCGACGGAGGCATGTAGATTAGCCAGATCGGAAGGGGGAAATGAAGCCGCGATTAAAATAATCGCGGCTTCATTTAAATTTAAATGGCTGCCCCGATCTGCCGATCAGCTGTTTGTCGGCAGATCGGGGCAGTCTGGACGCGATGCGCCGACAAAGAAGCCTTTCTTCATCGGCACAGGTAAACCTGGTTTCACGAGGCTTACCTGTGCCGATGAAGAAAGGCTTCTTTGTCGGCGCGTCGCGTCCAGACTGCCCCGATCTGCCGACAAACAGCTGATCGGCAGATCGGGGCAGCCATTTAAATTTAAATGAAGCCGCGATTATTTTAATCGATTCCCCTCTCCCGATCTGCCTAATCTACATGCCTCCGTCGAAGGAGGCATGTAGTCTAGACACACCCTTTGTGGCATTTTCCTGAAATTTGCTCACATATACCTCAGAGTTTTTCTGGGCAGAGTCTTCTGGCTCCCCACTCATCTTTGAGGTGCAGCGAGTACTGTCTGATCTTCTATGCTCATTGTCTCCTTACAATTCCTTGCTTATGGCCCTTTAATATCACTCTTGTTTTGCATTAGCTGTCCCCCCAAATCATCTGGGCCTCTGGTTTAGTTGCCTCTCCTCTTAGGCTACGGGAGGGACTTTCAGAGGTGGGCAGGCTTGTGCCCACCCACCTCTCAGAACTCAAGAGGTACACTTTGGAAAGAATACATAATGAACTATAAAGTTATCCTGCTCCTAGTCATGTGATGAATACATCTGTGACTTGTTAGCAGTGCACAGGCTTGCAGAATAAAAGACTGGAAGGTTGAAGGTTAGCTGCATAACTTCATTCCACGTATGGGTATAGTTTAGGAATTTAGTCTCAGCTCTATCCTTTGCATTGCTATGGGGTGCAGCCAGGAGATAGAGCAGAAGAGAAAAAGTGATCTGAGTGAGAACTTCAGCTCCTGTGCACTAAGGAAAACGACAAGAGCCGCATATCAGGGCATTATAGCTGTTTTCCAGAATGTTCCTTCTACCAGATGCCAAGTCTAGCACCTTTTTGCCAGTCTGGACCCTTTGTGTGATTCTGAGGGGACAGAGCTGGGATGAGGTTTGAAAAACCACAATTCTTTCATCTGGGTCCCTCTCCTATACAGGCAGTCCCCAGGTTACATGGATCCGACTTACATCGGATCCCTACTTACAAATGGGGTGAGGCAACCCCGCACTAGCTGCTTCCCCCCAGCAGACCAGGGAAACGCGAAGCTAGCGCCCCTCCCCCCTCCAGCAGACCAGGGAGATGCGGAGCGGCTTTTCTCAGCAGACACCTCAGCTTGAGAATAAAGGACTGAGGGAAGTGAGGTGTGGGAGAATAAAACTGAGCTCTGGAGAAATGTTTGGCTAGAGTTTCCCCTACAATATGTACCAGTTCCGACTTACATACAAATTCAACTTAAGAACAAACCTACAGTCCCTATCTTGTACGTAATCCGGGGACTGCCTGTATTATAAAGGGATGTATTTTGCATTTGCTCCTTAGCAAGCAGAGACCTATAGCTGATCTTGCCTATAGAGTGCATGGGTGTGTGTACATGTTTGTGTGTATATGGTTCAAGATATTGACACTTAGGGTGCGTCTATATTGCGGGGCTTAACTCGAAATAAGCTATGCAAATTGAGCTATGTCAATTGCATAGCTTATTTTGAAATAGCTTATTTTGAAACAGGGAGTTTTTACAGGCACTTATTTCAAAATAGAGCACTCTTCCTCCAACTTTCCTTATTCCTTGTACAACGAGGGTTACAGGAGTCAGAGTTAGAAGCTTGACAGTATTTTGACAGTATTTCGAAATAAGTGCTTGCTGTGCAGATGCAGACTAAGTTATTTCGGAATAGCACTAGTTATTTTGAAATAGTGTTGCAGTGTAAATGTACCCTTAGGTAACGTGTTAGTCCAGGCTTCTTTAGGCTTTTGTTGCCATTTATTGTCAAATATGCATACAAATTGTTTTAGTATATAAATACCTATTAGCTAATATTACTACTTTTTCCGGAACTTACCACAGTTTCTAGGGATGAATCTAGGAATGTGTTTATAATTTGTCTTTCAAAAAAAAAAAAACCCTAAAATTAAAAAAATCTGAGTTAGTTTACATTAAGATTTTACTATTTACATTTCTTTTCTGACGTATTTGAAACTTCCATATATTTAATTTTAACACATAATCACCATTAATACATATTTACAAAAATACTTAGACGAAAGAGTACCTCCCATATTTTGGAACTCCATAATTTCTCCACAACGGTGCTATTTTGGGATAACGTCCGTTATTCTGAAATAGCATTATGCACCTCTAAACAGCATGCCTATTATTTTGAAATACATTTGAAATAATGGGCTTCTTATTCTGGCTTCCTGTAAATCTCATTGCACAAGGATTAAGAAAGATCCCAGTAAAGCAATTTATTTTGAAATTAGCACTGTGTAGATAGCCCAAAATGTTGAAATAAGCTACACAATTTGTGTAGCTCAAATTGAATAGCTTATTTCAAGGTATGTGCTAGTGCCGGGGTCACCAACCAGTAGATCGTGATCTACCGGTAGATCTCAGGGGCTCTAAGAGTAGCTCTTGAGCCCTCTCTGAACTGCACACCTGCGCAGTACATTTACATTAGATTTCCTCATGTAATGTAGGCGGGGCTTCAAGGAAGGGGCGGGGCAGTAGATCTTCGCCTGTTCTGAGACTTAAAAAGTGATCTTGGGTGTAAAAAGGTTGGAGATCACTGTGCTAGTGTGTAGACATACACTAACTTAGGAACTATAGGGTCCCTATTACCTGTTATAACAGTAGTATATGAGCTCTTTGCCATCTTCAAGGTATGTGCTAGTGTGTAGACATACACTAACTTAAGAACTATAGGGTCCCTATTATCTATTATCATAGTAGTATATGAGCTCTTTGCCATCTTTAATGTACTTATCCTTGCAATATCTCTCTGAGTTAGGAAAATGCTAATCACTCAATTTTACTGGGAACTGAGGCACAGAGGCTAAGTGACTTGCACAATGTCACACAGAAAGTCTAGCAGAACAGACACTTGAGCCTAGGTCTGTCAAATCTTAAACTAGTGTTCTTACCCTTGTACCTTACTCTCCAAAGGCCTCAGTGATGTGAGAATCAGAAATGATGGGTAAGGTAAGGCAATTAACTACAAACATAAATCACCATGTCTATCACGTTAGGTTATAAAAAAGGTCTTTCAAGCAAATGTTCAATGCGTTTTTAAAAACTAACAGAAATCCAGAATCTTCCGCTTGTATAAATTGGTGGTGCTGCACCGAACCTAGTATTATGAGCACTTTCCTTTTGTGCTTTCCCAGAATTCACATAGAAGGTTGTAGAACAATGGGGCTTCAGAGTGAAATTACAGATCATTTTTGGTGGTTGCACACTTGACCATCTGAGAATGATTTGGGAAAAACTCTTTGAGTAGATTCATATAAGGAGCTTCAAAGGTGCCTTGGGAAGACCAGTCCAAATAGTTTCCTGACTTTTATCTCATTTCTAAATGCTTGCACAGATTGTCATCACATCTTAGATTTTAAAGTAGTACAACTGCTTGACAAAACTGAAGAATAGAACAGAAATTGGCTGAAACACCTGTTGGTTTTGCAGTGAACACACAAGTGGTTTTGTCATTCAGTCCTTAGGTAGTTGTATGGCTCTGGTTAGAATGTTAGAGCATCTTTGCCCTCTTCAATCAGAGATGTTTATTCTTAAGTCTTCCAAGAAAATAACAATGTTTTCCAGCTCCATTAGGCTTTTGCATTTTTTAAATTACTAAATAACAATAACTGATTAATTGGTCCAGATGCACTTACTTATACGATTGTAAAGTAAAATAGGATAGTTGATGTTGATCGCTGAGGACGTGCAAGCCATAGAAATGTAATAACCTTTTCCAGCTGTAATTTCCCATGCAATTTTTTTATGAACTTCTCTGCCCATCATTTCCATGACTTCATCTACAATTGTGAATAATTAAAAGAAAAAAACAAAAGCAAAACAAAATCTGAAACTTTCCTTTTCTCCAAATTGATTGTTGGAGGCCAGTTTCTCTGTCCCACACAGCATAGAAGAGGGAGAATCTGGAGGTGGTTGGCCAAGTGGAAATTCCAGTGGTGGGTAAGCAGAGGACCCTCAACTGGGATAAAACCAATATAACTGATCCTGTGCCCCTACCAAACTTGAATATGTCAAGATGGGCTTCTTGACCAAAACAAAGGAGAGTTTATGTTCCAGAAATTGTTTAAGTTCGCTTGTATTTGGGGATATCTATACCCAATTTATCTATACAACAGTAATCCTAACAAAAACAAGATTGAATAAAGGCAAGGAGAAATGTTTTGCTTAACATCTCCCATAAAATAAAGTACATAAGATATTTTCATCTTCATTACAGAGTAAAGCGTGAACTTCATGTCTAAAAAACATGCTCTTGTTCTGATATTGTTTTGTTAGAGAATCTCCTCCTGCTGCTGGTCCAGAGAAAGATGAGTTACTTCTTCTCTCACTCAACCATCTTATTAAGTGTTGCAGATCTGCTTTCCAAAACAGGTTTTTCCAGTTACTTAAGCACACAATAAGGTTTTGATTTCCTATTTTCTCTAAAGGGTATGTCCATGCTGAAAACACTACAATGGAACAACTGCACTGCTGCAGCCCTTCAGTGTAAACTCCACCTATGCTGAAAAGAAAAAAAAACAAAAGCAAAACAAAATGCTGATGAGAAAGGTTCTCATGCCAGGATAGATAATCCACCACCCGAAGAAGCAGTGCCTCGGCTGACGGAAGAATTCTCTGGTTGACTTGGTGCTATCTACACCAGTGATTAGGTCAGTGTATCTACAAGTCTCAGAGGTACACCTAGTAATGTAAGTTTTTAGTATAGACCAGGCTTTAGAGATGGCCCATTGAGGATGCAAAGATCTTACATGATGATAAGCCTATCAAATGGCATCTAACATCATTAATGGTCTTTACATCCTCAGTAGTCACTTAAAAATTAGATCAATGTGCCTACTTCACTCAGGATTGTGAAAAATTTCATACCCTGATGACCAAAGGTAAGTCTACCTAACCCCATTTGTAGACATGGCTAAGTCAATTGAAAAATTCTGTGAACCTACCTACTATTTCTAACAGAGATGGGCAGATTAATTATATTGATGGAAAAACCACTTCTATCAATGTAGCAGATCCTATAGCGCTTCAATGGCACAGCTGCAGCCTTGTAGCTGGGTCATTGTGGTGGGAATAGTGGATACAAAGCTTTAATATAGCTTAGAAACTGTATCTCTCAGAACAGTCTCTTCCCTAGTCAGATTCTGTAGGCTGGTCTGTGCTTAGGCTTGGTGTACAGCAGATGGGTTGACAGGAAAAAAGGTTGGTATATCTACATTACCCAGGGGTCTGGAATAGCTAATCTCTAAGCAATGCAGTTAAATCAACCTAACTCCCCAGTGCAGACAGCACTAAATCACTGGGAGAATTATCTTTACCTAGCGACCATCTCTTGGGGAGGTGGTATACCTACACGGATAGGGAAAGCCTTCTTATTGGTATAGGTAACATTTCACTGAAGTGTCACAATGGTGCTGCTGCTGCATTTTAAGTGTAAGCATTTAAGCCTTTTGAGCTTTTATTGGTATAACTATGTCAATTAAGGTTAGATTTTTGCTGATTAGTTATACTAGTAAATGTCCTAGTTTAGACTGTTACTCCAGTATATCTTATTTCAGTTTCCTAACCAGAATACAGCTAGGTCTACATGACAGACTCATTCTGTCACAGCTTTGTCTGTCAATGGTGTGATCCCTGACCAACATAGTATCAAAGGAGCAGGTAATAGGTAGTCAGGCCTAGAGATAGGTTGAGTCAGGCCTGATAGAATTGCAGTCAGTGCCAAGGGTCAAATGGTGAAGTCATGAATCAGAGCAGAGAGTCAGAACTAGGTTATTGGGAGTCAGAGAATACAGGAACAGGGCTGGTTCTGAGGCAAGAGCAGGGCTGGGACAGGTTAAGAATGTAAGAACGGTCATATTGGGTCAGACTAAAGGTCTATCTAGTCCAGTAACCTGTCTGCTGACAGTGGCCAATACCAGATGCCCCAGAGGGAAGGAATACAACAGGTACTCATCATGTGACAAACAGAGGCTAGGAACACCATTCCTACACATCCTGGCTATAGCCATTGATGGACCCAACCACCATGAATCTATCTAGCTCCTTTTTTAAAGTGCTAGTCTTCACAACATCCTCTGGCAAGGAGTTCCACAGGTTGACTGTGTGCTGAGTGAAGAAAAACTTCCTTTTGTTTGTTTTAAATCTGCTGCCTATTAATTTCATTTGGTGACCCCTAGTTCTTATATTGTGGGAATAAGTAAATAATTTTTCTTTATTTACTTTGTCCACACCAGTCATGATTTTATGGACCTCTATCATATCACAAAGAGGATGAAAACAAGAAGGGATGAAGGGCAGGATCTGGACTGTGGTTACGGAGGAACAAAGCAGAACCAGAGCTTGGCAAGAGATGAGCACAGAGCAAGCCCACCAACAGCAATTCTAGGCCTTAAGACAGACATCAATGGGCCCCTGTCCCCCTCTCTTAGATGGGGCCACAAGCTCCCACTGTTCTGGAGAAGCCCCAAGTGCCCCCTCTCCTGCTAGAGGAGCCATGTGTCAACCCATCTCCCACATGATCATTTTTAGACTGAAAAGTATGTGTAGAAGATTAGCTCAAGAACTCCTGAGTTATAATCCTGACTCTGGTAACAACTTATTGTCTGATGTGTCCTTGGACAACTAATTTAATGTATTCCTCAGTTTCCTTGTCTTTAAAAAGAGTATAATAAAATATATTTCATACCTATTTCAGAGAGATGTTGAGAGAATTCATATTTGTAGATCATTTTGAAGATGAAAAGCACAATATAAATAGTTAGTATTAGTCCCAGTCTTGCAGGCAAGCTGTGCATATTCTAGGTTAACATCATTCTAATGGCATCCATCTGCATCTTGAATACAAGAAAGAAACTGTAAGACTGCCTGTCTATGATCAAGGCTTTTTCATGCAGCTCACCCTACTGTTTGGCATTTAGCCAACTGCAATAGCCTATTGAGGAGGGAAACAGCTCTGAAGGAAAGAATGTGCATGTTAAGCAGAAGGCGGCTTTTGCAAAGGGTGAGAAAAATAAGACAAATATCACCAACTGCCAATGTACTCACTGGTGTGCTCAAGAATGAAGCAAGACAAAGGGGAGGAAAAAAGTTGTAATAGGTCCCTGATACCTTCCTCTTCGTATCCCCCACTAAAAATATATGTATCAGTCCACGTGCACTGCAGGCTGCAATAAAGAATTCTTCTACCTCAGGACCAGGTCTGCTTTACATTAAGGTTGCTTCTCTGTGGAAAAATATGGGAGGGATTAGTTTGGAGCTACTTAAAGCAATCCAGAATGTGACCAAACTTTCACCATTATAACAATGATGCCAAAAGTTTGAGGGTCTGTGAGGTCAGGCCAGAAGCCAGGTCACATTGAGAAGGCACCCACGCAATCGGCTTTTCTACTAGCTGGATAATGATCTTTTGATTCAACTGGACTCATCTCACTATCAGAGGCGCTCTGTGCTTTGTTGGTGATCTACTGGGAGCTAACTCCCAAGTCTTCCTAAGAAATTACAGGATACAGTGCAGAATCATCTGAAGCTTCTGTTGCCTACATATCTGATGTCAGAACTAGTCTCCTTACTTAGTCTATAAAGTGCTAGCGGACCATTTGTTGTTTTTTTCTGTACAGACTAACTCGCCTACCCCCTGAAGCTTCCTCCCACTAGTCATCTATAGATTCATTTCATTCAAAATGTGTTGCAGCTTTACATTGCTGCAGTGCTGTAACAAATATATAAAGTTGCAGCCAATGTGTCCTCCTTCATTTTCTACAAGATTTCAGTCTGAGGCTGCTACATCTAGACTGCAGACTTCTTGTGCAAGAAGCTTTTATTGAAAGAGCTCTTCTGCAAAAACTTCTTGCACAAGAGCACGTCCACACTGCAAAAGCGCATCGAAAAAGTGATGTGCTTTTGTGTAAGAGAGTGTCCAGACTGCATAGATGCTCTCGCAAAAGTAAGCTCTGATTGCTATGCATAGAACAGTCAGCAGGGCACCTGTGCTTTTTCTTCTTTCCTCTTTTTGCGCAAAAAAACCCTCTTTCCCGTCCACATTACCTTTTTGCGAAAAGCATTCCGGTAGAATGAGGAATACCTATTGGAAAATACCTGCTGGAAAAAACCCTCTGTTCTTTCGATTTTTTTTGTGCAAAAATGTGCCTGAGATGTGGACGCTCCATGAGTTTTTTCAGAAAAATGGCTGTCTTTCTGAAAAAACTATGTAGTGTAGACATAGCCTGAGAGAGGTCAGCAGATAGCCACTTTCCTCTGATGCCGTTTCCTCTTTTATAGGGCTTGGTATCCTTAAGTCCAACTGGGCAGTAAAGAATCTTTCACAGATGCACTGAGGCCTGTTCCCATATAAGGGTTAGTCACCTTGGGTGCAGCTACACAGCCAGGCTTAACTCAAAATAACTTGAAATAACTGCTTTCTGTGTAGATGTGGACTAAGTTATTTCGAAATAATGCTAGTTATTTTGAAATAATGCTGCTGTGTAGACAGCCCCTGTGACTAACCTACAGAAGTTCTGGAATTTGTATCAGACCTAGCTAAAACACTGAATTCATTTTTTATTAAAATTTTAGCAAAAACGTGTCCCTGTTTTCTGCTGGCTGTTTTTTGTTTTTACTGTCTCTGCAGCAGTCAGACTGTGCCTGCTGTGATATGTTCCCTGATTTATTAGGAATAGTCCACACACAATTTTTGTATTTGTATAACTATGTGAGTTAAGAGAATGATGTTTTCCTGACAAAGTTATACAGGTAATGATGGACATTGTTATGCTAGTGTAAAGGTCCCTTCTTGTGTGGTACAAAGTTCTACCAGTATAAGCTGGTTTCTATTGGTATTACCATGTCCACATAGAAAGGTTACACCACCTTAACTATGCCAGTATACTCAAAGCAACACATATTTTCTACGTAAACAAGACCTCAGGAATGTGCTTGCCTTCCAGGAGAGTGCTGCCTCCCAGTTAAATGGTTGAACGCAATAGAATCATGGTGCACAAAATCTCTGACCATGCAATTCTAGGATTTGGTGCATCTCCCAACACTGAATGCCAGAGAACAAAACAATTCAACGAAAAGGTATCGGGATGTAGCCCAGAAGATGTGGTGAGAGGGAAAATAGCCAAGTCCAGAGGCTGAGGAATAGACTGGGAAGAGGAGACTGGAAAGTTAAAGTGGTCAAAGAAGGGAGTGGAGTTGTGAATTGAACAGAAAATCCTCAATGTTCCCTTTCCTGTTTCTCACTCGGATTATCAAAACTATCCAGCAGCCATGTACAGACAAGTGTTCCCTATCTGTGCTATGAAATGCTACCAAGTACCCTTAAGTTGGGTTGGCCCGTGGCTAAAGTTAAAAAATAGCCCTTCTGCTCATAAAAGATTCTCATTTTTTACTCTAGCTTTACCAGCAGGTCTTAGGACTCAGCTAACTGAGGCTACATCTACATTGCATCCCTCGTGAGCAAAAGCATATGCAAATGAAGTGTGGATTAGCATATTGATATGCTTCATTTGCATAATTAATTAAAGGGCGTTTTGTGCAAGAGGCTTTTGCGCAAAAAAGAGCCATCTACACAGCTCCTCTTTGAGCAAAACCCCCCACTTGTGCAAGAGCCGTTCTTCCTCATTTTTTCAGGAAGAACGGCTCTTGCACAATAGGGGGGTTTTGCGCAAAGAGGAGCTGTGTAGATGGCTCCTTTTTGTGCAAAGCCTCTTGCGCAAAAATGCCTCCTAATTAATTATGCAAATGAAGCATGGGAATATGCTAATCTGCACTTCATTTGCATAGGCTTTTGCACAAGAGGGATGCAATATAGACGTAGCCTGAGAGTCTGCATCACAAACAAAGGGGGGGAATTTATAAGGAAGGATTACAGGCCAAGATGGATGAGCAAACATTTCAAAGAGGTGAGTAAGAGAAATCAGAAAGCCTAAAAGGAATGAAAGATGAGAGGGATTGGCAAAGAAAGCTACCACTTGGAGGTCAGAAAGTGGAGGGATAAAGTGAGAACTACCCAAAGCCAAGCAAAATTGGATCTTGCAAAGGGAATTAAAACCAATGGTAAAAGGTTCTATAGCCACAAGAAGAAAACAAGGAAAGAAGAAGTAGCCACGAAGCACTCAGAAGGGATTGAGATTAAAGATTACTTAGGCATGTCCCAACTCTTAGATAAATACTCTGCCTCAGTTTTTAATGGGGCTAATGAAGAGTTTAGGAGTAGTGGCAGGGAGGATAATGGTAACAAGGATAATGGAGGCAGGAATTTCCACATCTGAAGTGGACGTCAAACTCAAACAATTTAACGGGACTAAATTAAGGGGTCCAAGTAATCTCCATACAAGAATATTAGAGGAACTAGCACATGAAATTGCAAGTCCAATAGCCAGGCATGTCCGGCCCGTGTTCCAGTTTAATACGGCCCCCCGGGTAATTTGGCAATATCTATCTTTTATGGCCCCCAATGAATCCATATGTATTGAGATGAATACATTGTAAAATCTCAGTTAAAGTCAGTTGGTCTAAATCAGTTATAAATATATTTGGACACAACATGTATACTTGGTGTTATGTTCCTGTTCATATTTTTTGAACTTAAAAGTTGACAGACAACCTTTATTACCAATAATATGTAATGTACTTTACAATGTTCCTGACATATATTTCAGCTTCCTGGATTTTTTTTTCATCTGGCCTTCAGATATGAAAGGCAGAGTGATTTAACACCTGTTTAGATTTGTCATCCATGTGACGAAATGAAAAGTATGCCGTTTGCAATAAACTTTGCATAAAATAGTTAATTTGCATTTAATTTTAATGGTTCAAAGAATGTCAGGCAAAATGGTCGGCCCTCACGCGTGTTCACTTCATCAAATCTGGCCCTCTTTGAAAAAAGTTTGGACACCCCTGCCAATAGCAAAGGTATTTAATTAATCGGTAGATAATCCAAGAAATTGAAAACCTATTTTATGAGAGGAGACTTAAACAGCTTGGCTTGTTTAGCCTAACCAAAAGAAGAATGAGGGAAGATATGATTGCTCTCTATAAATACATCAGAGGGATAAATAACAGGGATGGAGAGAATAATTTAATATAGTGCCAATGTGGACACAAATGGCTATTAACTGGCCATCAACAAGTTTAGGCTTGAAATTAGGTGAAGTTTTCTAACCATGTGAGGAGTGAAGTTCTGGAATAGCCTTCTGAGAGGAGCAGTGGGAGCAAAAAAAACCCTAACTGGCTTGGAGACAGAGCCCTAGATGGAGAGGACTCCGAATTTTTACAGAGAATTTTTTCCCACGGTATTTCTACACAGCAGGGCTAACACCAAAATAAACTATGCAACTTGAGCTATGTCAATTGCATAGCCTAAGTTGAAATAGCTTATTTCAGCTTTTGGTGCTGTCTACACAGCAGGAAATCTGAGAAAGAGAACACTTCCTCTGACTTCCTTTACTCCTCGTAAAATGCGAGTTTTAGGAGTCAGAGTAAGAAATCTTCCAGCTCGCCATTATTTCAACCTTATGTTGAAATAACTGCTTGTAGTGTAGACGTGGACTATGTTATTTTGGAATAACTGCTGTGTAGATGTACCCCCAGGTTCCTGCCTGGTGGGTTTTGCTTATGTGCTCAGGGTCTAACTGATCGTCATATTTGGGGTCAGGAAAAATTTTTCTCCTAATTAGATTGGCAAAGACCTGAGGGGTTATTGACCTTTCTCTGCAGCATGGGTCACATGGGTCACATACAGGTTTAAACTAGTGTAAATGATGAATTCTCCATAACTTGAAATCTTTAAACCATGATTTGAGGACTTCAGTAATACAGCTAGAGGTTAAGAGATCTATTACAGGAATGGGTGAGGTTCTGTGGCTTGCAGTGTGCAGGAGATCAGAGTAAGGCTATGTCTACACTATGGGGCTTTATTGGAAAAAGGTACACAAATTGCACTCCGCAATTTGCGTAACTTTTCCTGATCATTTTTTTGGAAGAGGCTTTTCTGCAATTTGGCCTGTCTACACTGGGCCAAATTTCGGAAAAAACACCTATTTCGGAACAGCCCCTCTTCCTTATGGGAGGAGGAAGACAAGACTTCCGCGAGTGTCTGCTCATCCGCAAAAAAAAGCAGAAGCGCAGACGCATTCCCTGGATGCAGCAGAGAAAACCTTCGTAGACTAGAAATAGCCTAGATCAGTGTTTCTCAACAAGTGATACAAGTACCTTTAGGGGTACGTGAGAGAAGTCTGGGGGGTATGTCAACACAACTGAAATTTGAAGAAAACTGAATTTTTGTTTTAAGTTTTATTATTATTTGCGTACTTTTTACTTCCAAAAATGTCATTGCCCAACTGGCTACAATTAAGTTTTTTAAACAAATGTGTTTCAATGGTAGAAAAAAAAAT